GGAAATTTGTGAAACTGAAACTTAGGCATTGAGGGAAGTATTTGTTGAATAAGTTGAGGCATGTGTGTTCAGGGCTGAATTCAGGGCTTATGCATGCCAAATACACGATAACACCACATTGAGCTACATCCTCAGCAAGTAAATAGGGTCTTTATATGATGTGAATATAGTCTTTTTGCAGTGGTCTTTTAAAAAAATTGTTTCTGCCCAGCATGTGGCACACTCTTAAAAACCCGGCACTTCAGAGGTAGAGATGAGATGATCAGGAGTTCAAGGTCACTATTAGTCACATAGTGAGTTCCAGACCAGTGTGAGCTACATGAGTCTGGCTTTGTCACACACACACAGTTGTTTCTTTGAGGTGTAATTCATACATAACAAGACTATCTCTCTCTCTTTTTTAATTTTGTTTGGGGTGTAGCGGTTTGGTCTGGCATTTGAACACAAGAGTTGCATACTAAGAAAGAATTCTTAGTGACTGGGCTATATCCCCAGCTCTAGAAGATGCCATTTGTAAGGGTATAATAAGGTTTCGCTTTCCTTTGGAATTGATAACGTTAAAATTTGATTTTTAGTGTTCAGTTTAGTGAGTTTTAAAAATAGTTTATGTAGGGCTGAAGAGAGGCCTCAGCAGATAAAGGTGCTTGCTGCCAAGCCTTATAAACCTGAGTTCCATCCTTGGGACCCACATGGTAGGAGAGAACTGATTTGCATGAACTATCAAAGACTTTCAGTTTCTCCACACCTTCTTTCAAGGCTTAATAGGGCTAGTCTTTTTAATTTTAATGATTTTATTATGGTTTTAGTTTGGTTTCTGTTGCTGGTAAACATAGTGACCAAAACCCTTGTTTATACTTTACCATTCATCTATAAAGTAAGCCAAGGCAGAAATTCAAGGCAGGAATCCAGAGGCAGGAACTGAAGCAAAACCTAGGAAGAGCACACCTCGTAGCTTGCTCCCCAGCTGTGCACAGGTACCTTGCTTGCCCAAGCCCAGCTGTCCAAAGATGGAACTGTCCTGTTGTCTGGGCCCTCCTGTATCATTAGCAATTAAGTAAATGCCCCACAGACATGCTCTGAGGCCGGTCTGATGGAATCAGTTCCTCAGTTTCAGGTGTGTCGGGTTGACCACTAAGATTAGCCACCACAGTGTTTCTACTGTTACTTCATTGTACTTTATTGTTTGTATGATTCACATGCCAACAGTTCACTGATTTTACATGTAAACTTCATTAACATTTAGTATATTTAGAACTGTATGACCACCACCACCAATAATTTGTATCATTCCCTGAAGAAGCCTACCCACCTTTCTAAGTCCTAAGCAACCATTGTCTTTATAGTCTTACAAGTTCTAGACAGTTAATAAATGTGGGCTTATGTTAACTGTTTTTTTTTTCTTTTGGTGTATGTATATATTTGTTGGGTATCCACATATACATAAGAATTTGTATCATTGTTTGATGTCTTCTGAAATTCCTCTCCACCTGATTTTTTTGAAACTGGGTCTATTGCTGAACCTCATCAGTTTGTCTGGGTTGACTGGCCAATGAGGTCCAAGGATCCATTTGTCTCCATACTCCCCAAGCTCTTGCCTTTCAGACCCTTTCCACCATGATTAGCATTTTATGTTGGTTCAGGGAATATAAACTCAGGTCCTTTTGCATAACAGGCACTTTACCAACCCAGCTATCCCCCCCCAACACACACACCCTTTTTTTTCTAGCAGGACCTCAGTATGTAGCCCTGGTTGGCCTGATGCCACAGAGATCAACTCATGAACATTTGTAGTTTTTCTACTTGGACTATTACAAATAATACTCCAATAGGTATTTTTGTAATAGTGCGTATGTGTGTGTGTGGATGATGTGTCTGTTTTAGGTTTATATCTCAGAATACAACTAGTGAGATTTGTGCATTGGTGTTTGCCTGCATGTATGTCTGTGTGAGGGCATTGAATCCCCTGAAACTAGAGTTATATGTAGTAATGAGCTGCCATTGTGGGCACTGAGCATTGAACCTGGGTCCTCTGGGAGAACAGCCAGTGTTCTTAACTGCTAAGCCATCTCTCCAACCCCACCACTTAACATTTTCAGTGGCATTAATATGTAACAACATTGATTTTAATTAATGTCTGTTAGTGACTGGGATGATAGTGCTATGCATTTGTAACCACAGAAAATCCTAAATATCTACAAAAAAGGAATGTTACATTGAATTAACCTTTTCTTCCTACTTTTCTGCAGAACACTTCGTACTTGGTTAGTTGCATAGTTCTATGCTTAGTTAATTATTTTCTTTTTATGTTTTGCAGAATAAGAAAGCTAATCTGAATATCAGGGGAAGAACAGAGAAGAGAAACAAGGATAGAAGACAAGGTTTTCCAGTTTGTACAATGTAAGTTCTTTTCACTATTCTTGGCCTGAGTCCTATATTAGCTGACAAAGCTGTTTCTATGGAAACATAGTCAAGCCTCTTAAAATGTCTGAGGAATGCTGACCATTTAAAATGAGACTTTCCAGCTGTTGGCCAAAAGAGGGAGAGATGAGTGGGAGCAAGGGACTTTAAACTGTAATTAGGCAGTGAACATATTCGTGTTCACTCTGAACATTCATCTTCACATGTTCGTATATGAAGTCTGCTTTTTCCATCTCCCTCTACCTACAACGTAAAGTTACACAAGAAACTATTTTTTCAGTAACCTGTTTTGTTTGCTAGCTTTGAGACTAATGGTTGTTTCTTGGTTTTGAGTTTTGGAGTCTTTAATCTCTGTCATTTGGTCATGTAATTTCCATTTATCTGCAACAGACCCTACCCTCTGTATTGATAGTTGTACTCCAAAATGCAACACAAAGAACTGTATCCTTATATTTTCCTTGTTTCTTGTCACTGTTTTAGATGTCTGCATCTTCAAACTTATGATAGTCCAAGTTTAGTTGAACAGATATTTCTTAAACATTTTTTTTCTATCACATGTATTATGCTAAGTCCTGGATATGTAAAAATAAGATATAACCTGGAGATATAAAAATAAAACATAATACATTTGGAATCTGATGCGAACCATAGAAAAGTAATCATTTGATTTTTCTTTCTTTTTCTCACTAAACTAAACACTTAGGAGAGATAGCTAAAATAGAATGTTAAATGAATTAATTCTAGTTGCAGATATCTTCTGAGCATAAAAGATTGGATCCATATAAACAAGTGTGATGCTAATAGTCTATGAGAATTCTGATCCAGATATGACTTATAATTTTTTTCATGGCTCAGTTTGGTGAATGTGCATACATTTTTTAATATCTAATAATTATAAATGAAAAAATTAAGAGCTCATTTTTAGAATATATAAACTCCTAGGTTTTTAAAATTAGAATTAACCGCCGCACCATAGTAACTCCTGCACAAATTTCTGCTTACTTATAATGAAAACATTAAATAAACTGTATCCAGTTTAATATCTTTTTATAATTAACACAGAAAACTTAGGGATCAGCTAATATAAAGTTAATAGCTCTCATTTTAGTGGAAAAGGCAATTTATTGGTAAATTAAATATTTATATGAAGGTCACATGGTTATAGATAAAGAGACATAAAGTTTGGATGGATGATCATCTATCATTCTTGTAAAAATACAATTTTGGTATTTTAGTCATTGATATAATTTGTATCTATTTTTCTAATTGTTGACCCTAGTGTTAAGTAGTTTCTCTTTTTTCCCTGTTTCACTGTAATGACATTTGAAAGAAGATTCAGTAGTAGTATTAGGAATACTGTCTAAAAACGTGGATTTTACTTAGTCAACATTGTACTAAAAACATATTTACTAAGTTAATGCTCAACTCAAGGAGGTAGTAAGCTCATTATTGTAAATATTTTTAAAGCCGAGGCAGAAGAAGCTAATTAAATTTAATGTGTGGGTTTGCACACATAAACAGCCTGTGTATTTATGCCTAAGTGGCTTGTTGAAAAGCTAGTGCCATTGAATTAAATATTTTTTAACTTATTTATGTTGGAGAACTCTTAGGATAGAATCAAATTAATACTAATAATGCATATATTTGTTTTATAATGTGTATATGGTATCTTTTTTAAAACTTAAGAAAAGTTCTGTGAATAAATTTTCTAAGTTATTCATGTTCAAAGAGAAACTGACCTGTCCTTAAACAGCAAGCTAGGAAATATGGTAGAGCCAAAATGAAAATTCAGTTTTCTTGTCTATAAGACCCTTTTACTCTTTAGTTTTGTTTGTTTGTTTTTTTTTTTTTAATGGTACAGAAACTACCATTTCTTTCTAAATGGATCCTTATAAAGTTCATCTTAATTTTTTATAAATATCACCAATTATAAAAACTGATATTCTACATAGTCCTTTTCTAACCTATGTAGTTTTGTCCTTAGAAAGCCTCACTGATAAACCTTATTGTTCTTTAGCTATCATCTTTATTGCAAAACTCATTAAAACAATTAGTTTTACCCCCAAATACTTTTCTGTTAGTCACTAACATGGCTTGTGTTATGCACCAAATTTTAATTGTTACAATTATATCAGTTGTTCACAATGTTAAACTGTGTGTATTAAGTATAAAGTTGAGATTTTAGAGTAACTGTTGAAATATCCTTTTATCCACTAAGCACCTATTCTTTACAAAATTAACAGTCAGCCGTTTTACTGTCTCACTTTACTAAACTTCAGTGAATCAATTTTCTTAGCTGTAAAATGGAATAGTATGCTTCATAATCTTAAGAGGCAACTTTTTAAAAAATACCTGATGTCCTCAACATTGTCTGTAAAATGAAGGAAGAGGCCTTATTCTGCATTACCAACTATATTAAGTACTTAATAGATAGAAATTCTTTATATTGTATAGATATTAGAAATGGGCTATGTAAAATTTGTTTTTATGTTATAATTCTTATACTTTTCCCCCCCCCATTTTTCCCCCTTAGATTTCCCTCATGGATACATTTTCATAGCGTTATAATGTGATATGCGAAGTTATTTTTCTTTCTTTGAAGTAACATGGATTTTATACTACAGAATCAAGAGAATTGGCTTTATAGGAAAAATTGATATATAAAAAGTGGTACAGGTTTTTATAGATAACCATGACAACATCGTATATGAATGGGCATGTAACAGAGGAATCAGACAGCGGAATAAAACATCTCGATCTTGCATCACCAGAGGAACATCAGAAGCACCGAGAGATGGCTGTTGACTGCCCTGGAGATTTGGGCACCAGAATGATGCCAGTGCGAAGAAGTACACAGTTGGAGCGCATTCGCCAGCAGCAGGAGGATATGAGACGTAGGCGTGAGGAAGAAGGAAAAAAGCAAGAACTTGACCTAAATTCTTCTATGAGACTTAAGAAACTAGCTCAAATTCCTCCAAAGTCTGGAATAGATAATCCTATATTTGACACAGAAGAAGTTTTAGAAAGTCCTCACTATGCTGTGAAAATATTAGGTAAGTAAAGTTAACACTTTACTTTTTTTTTGCTTTGGTCTATGTATACCCTAACAAAAATGTGTATGGGAAGTGCCAGACTTAGAGTGTAAATGATAGCAAGTTGAATTTGGACTAAGACCAGTTCTTTATATTTTAGTCGCATAAAAAAACAAACAAACATTGGTTTAAACATTGTCCTAGTTTGTTTTCTATTGCTGTAACAAACACCTCGACTGAAAGCAGTTTGGGGAGAAACAGGTTTATTTGGCTTGCATGTCCCAGTCCCAGTTTGTTGCCGAGGGAAGTCAGGACAGGAACCATAGAAAAAGTTGCGCCCTGGTTTGCCCTCCATTACTTGCTTGCTCAGATTGCCTTTTTTTATTTTAAACAGCCCAGGGGTGGCTGTTTTGTCACAGACTTAAGGAGATGCAACACGTGTCTAATCATTCCAGAAAGGGAACTAGAACACACCAAAAGTAATGGCTACACCAGTGTAACAATTGTTATACCAGTATAACAGTTTGGTGAGCCAGCAGTGAGTTTTTTTTTTTTTTTTTTTTTAATTGGGTTTACTAACAGGACTGTGAGTGAAAAGTTACTTAGCAAGGAGCAAAGATAATGTAAAAGCAGCTGCATCACCAGAAAGCCTTTTCCAGTGTGGGTAGCAACTCCCCAAAACTACAAGCTTGACATTCTCTGTGCAGCTGACAGATAGCTTGACAGTCTGAATTTCTTTCTTAGGCAGGTTAGTTGGCCAGTGTCTCCCGTCCACCCCCAGTAATTGTCTACTTTTTTATCACTGCTTGGTAGGGGCACTGAGAAATCTTCTAAGTTCCTATTCTCCCTGATATGTGTCATAAGTAAACAATAAGTTTACTTTCTCTGACTCATGACCCTCCCTTTCCTTCCTAGAGCAAACATTTCAATTTAGAGGGAATATGGCAATTCTGAGGAAAATAATATATAACAGTGGTGCTACCCACCATAGTCTGGGCCCTTTCACATCAGTCATTAGCCAAGAAAATGCCCCAAGTGGTGCCTACAGGCCAATAATGATGGAAGCAGTTCCTCAGTTTAGATTCTTCTTAGGTATGTCTAAGTTTATGTCAAGTTAATAAAAACCAGCACAGTTGACCCTTTGCCAACCTGATACACAGATACTATTAAAATCACTATTAAGCCATAACCTGTCCTTTCTTATTGTCCTCAAGAGAATCATGTTAATATTAATATCACAATATGAGAAATCCAACTTTTAGAAGTTCCATGGTCTTAAAAATTCTTGCAGTTAAAAAGCCCAAGTTCTTGAAAACCCAAAGTGTCTTAATTGTGTGCTCCTCTAAAACTGAACAAGTTATATACTTCCTTATTTCAAGATGAAGGAACCATTGAACAGTTACAATCAAAGCAAAGCAAAACCCCAAGTCCAGTGGTGTAAATAGTGCAGTGTCCAATGTCTGGAGCTTGCTTGTGATCTTCTAATCACCAGAGGGCTTGTGCAGCTCAGCCTCTCAGCTCTGCCATCAACAAAACATACATCTTGTCTCATTGGCTCAAGCTGGCTCCACTCCACCAGCTGTCCTTGGTAGTTATCGCATGGTATTGGTATCTGGCAGTATTCTGGGGTCTCCACTGCAAAGGATGCTACACATTCAACCAATGGCTTCTCCCGGCCTCTTCAGGGATTCTAATTCTACCACGTGGTGCCAGGCCTCAGCTTCTCTCCATGACCTCTTCGACCCTGAAATTTTTTCCCTTCAAAAACCATTTACCATGTGGAAAACGTACACATTGTTACTTTCAGCTGCCAGCTTGAGATGCAGCCTTTGCTAGGACACAGCTTCATTGTGTTCACCTTGAAGAAGAGTTGCCAGAAAATTGCACCACAGTGTTACTGGTCTTGTTAATCACAGATGTTTTTTTCAACTTCAGCTAACCAGTTGATTGTCTTCTTATATTAATCATTTCACTTCAGTGATGCTTTCAGTGACCCTGGTCTCTTTGAAATCACTGCTGATTCTTCAGCCTCAGCAACCAGAAACCACAGACTCTTAGTTTAGAAATATTACAGAAGGATCTTGATACAGTCTTTGAGAGATCTCAAACTTCCCTTTACCTGCTGGGCCTCCACTGTCTGCGTTCCCTTCAGCATTCTTCCAAGCTGCCACAGAACAGCCTGTTAAGCTCTAAGCACTCAATGGCTTTTCCAGCCCAAAGTTCCAGTTTTCACAGTTCTCCCAAAAGCAATATGGTCAGCTCTGTCACAGCAATACCATGTTCCTGGTACCACTTTGGTCCTAATTTGCTTTCTGTTGCTGTGATAAACATAATAACTAAAAATGAAAAGGATTTGTTTAGCTTACACATACCAACCATGGTCCATCATTGAGAGAAGTTAGGGTAGAAACCATGGAGGAAAGCTATTCACTCATGGTCTTTGTGGATTGCTCAGCTTGCTTTTTTTATAAATCCCGGAACCACCTGCCTAGAAGTGGCACTGCCCACAATGGTGTGGGCCCTCCCACACCAATTAGTACTCAAGAAAATGCCTAACTGCCATGCTCACAGTCCAGTCTGATAGAAACAGTTTGTCAGTTAAGCATCTCTCTTCCCAAATATGCCTACTTTCGTGTCAGGTTGACAAAAGCTTTATATCTATAAAGCATTTTTACACATGACCTGAAATTTTCATCTTTTATATCAACTCAATTTTTTTCCTTTTTTTTGACACAGTTTCTCTGTGTAGCCCTTGCTCCCCTGGACTCCCTTTGTAGATCAAGCTGGCCTTGAACTCACAGAGATCTGCCTGCCTCTGCCTTCCTGAGTGCTGGGATTATAGGCATTCACCACTGCACCTGGCTTCAACTCATTTTTTTAATAATTAAACTACTAGAAAGCAAAGTTAAATAATAATAAAACAGTAACTACATCTTAAAATCTATTTTTTTTATAACTGTCAGGAAGATAAATACAAACTGGTCATGTGGGATCAACCTTGTTAGTATTTTGGAATACAACCTGCTCCTGTGTTACCCAGCAACCTATTATGTCATCATGTGTCGGTGGCCAGGTGGCTACACCTGGAAGGCGTGGTTACCTTGTCCCTTAAAGGGCCAACCCCCCCGACACATGGTCTCTGTCTTACAGTCTTACTCTCTCTCACTCTTAACACTCTTTTTTTTCTCTCTCTCTCCCTCTCTTTCTTGGGGCACCCCCCTTTCCTCTTCTCTTTTCTCTCTCATGTCCTGCTTCCCCTCCTCCACACCCTCCTAATAAACTTCTTGCAGAGAATATCGGTTAACCAACCTCATGCTTTTTAATAATAACATTACAAACCTACTGTCTCTAAGTTTTGTTGATGACAGAAAATAAAAACCTGGCTCTAGGATATTATTTATATGCAAAAGAGTTCTGTGGCCAAATAACATGAGAATACTAGGCTTAGAAACCTTCTCATTAAAGAATTTCTTCAATGTTAGTAGGGACTGTGGATCTAATGATATTGATGAGTGATGGCAGATGCATATTCCCACACTTAGGCTATTTAATCAATGAACTTTATCCCTGTATTCACGAGTACTTACAGTGCTATGTTAGAAGCCAGAAGTCATTTTGAGAAATGTTGCCTTATACATTAATTTGTTTTCAGTTTAAACTTAGGTGTTATTTCTCATAGTTACTGTTGTTTTAATAAAATAAATTTATTTACATTTTAAATGTAATAAAAGAAGTTTTATGGCATTACCATCATTTTACCATTCCCATGCCTATTGAACCTTAGCAAATACCATTCCTATAATAATCTGGTCAAGAAGGCCTCTTGTCTATATTTCAGAAATGAAAAGAGTAGCCAGCATCAGTGCAGACGTGTAACCTTAGCTGCTGAGAAACTGATGTGGGAAGATGGGGAGTTCCAGACCAGCCAGGGCAACATGCTGAGACCTGGTCTCACACAAAACAACAAAAGAAACAGCAGTTGAATTTCAGTCACATCACTTGCTTAAGACATCAAGCTAATACTTGGGAGGGTCAAGTTTGAATTTGCCAGAAATGGAGTTGATATATACTGCAGCAAGTAGAGGTTTGAATAGAAAATGACGTTTAGCCTGCACTTTTACTCAACTGGCCAGGGTTAAGACTAACTCTAATTTGCCCATAAGCAACATAATATATGCTACATTTGTTCTTTCATGAGTCTTTTTAGTCCAAGTATGGAGCAGTTTCTAGTCAATCTCATTACTTTTCTGTGGTAAAAATTTTTAGAATACATACTTAAAATGTTCATGCTTCTGTTTTACGAAATCAGATAATGTGTGTTATCTATAATGACTTCTGAGACAGCTTAGGAGTCAGCAGACAGGACTGTTTGCTTCAAGCAAGGAAGGACAGAACTGGGTGTCTGTAGGGGTTGTTCTTCAAAGAGAGAAGGGAATACTCTGAGTTTATATAGGAGTTTTGGGAATGGGAAGTTAAATGTAGCTTCAGGGGCTACTTTCTGGAACTGTTTTATCATTTGAAACTGACTTGCCTACTCCACCACCATTATACCTTCCCCCACACACAGACACACAAATTGGGTTATTATAATGCTGCTTTCAGGATGCCAGGGATAATGGTAGTGAAGGGAAAGGGGCTGGAGTTTCAACAGGGGTGGGAGATTTCAGCAAGGGGAAGGGGAAATTCATTGGTCAGGGTCTGACAGAGTTTGTTTGAGCTTTGTTCCAGTGTCATCAGAAATAGTGAAGTCTGCTGCATGCCTTCAGATGTAATTCCAGTGAGGAAATGAGGTACTCAGTACATTTACATGAAGGAATTTGAATATTTCCCCCTATGGGTTTTGTTTGTTTGTTTTAGAAAAGAACTTCATTTTCTATTGTTCTTGCTTATCCTTCATTTCTCACCATTTCTCCCTTCCTTTTTCATATAATCTGAATTGATCTGTTTTTTGTTTACATTTCTTTTAAAATTAATGTGTCTGTTCATTTGTATTACCTAGAATCAGGCTGTTTATACAATGT